TTTAGCGACTTTTAGCTAAACTGTTACTAAAATAGCGACATTTAATACAAATGTCGAATATATTACACTACTAGAATTTCGTTGTTTGCCAACTTCAAAATTGGTCGGAATGTAGTTTTTCGATGACTTTCCAACTACTTTTGAGTAGTCGGCAGACTGAGCGTCGAAAAATACTTGTCGATTGTAGCAGTCGGCATTCGCCGACTACCAGAGGCACTATATATAAATTAAAACCCGACCATTAAACTACCTAAACTGCTGTTATTGGTCACAATTTAAAAGTGTCGCCTTTTATATCTCATCTACAACAACACTTATTAAGTGTAAGTTTTCTTATGTACATGCTAAAATTTATAATCCATAAGCTAAGCCAAGTGTGGCCTTTGCTTCCTTATTGCCCACGATTTTAAAGTGTTGCCTTTTCTATGTTATGTATGACAACACTTTGAAGTGTAGTCCTTGCCCATGTGCATACCACAATTTACAGTCCTTTGGCTACACTTTTAAGTGTGGTAATATATTATTTTGGCTATAAAATATTTATATGCCATAATTTCTAATTAAAAAACACCAATATTGTTTTACAATAAATAATCTCAAACATTAAATTAGCTAATAAATAATTCAAATATATAGATTTGCAATAAACTTCAAAAGATAGTATGTCTTGTGTACATACACATACTTATAAAGCAATATTCTAAATATGTGTACAAAATAGTTCAACATATATTCTAGCAATGAATATATTTCACAAAATCAAATATAATGTATTCAAATTTTTACAATAGTTCAAAAAATCTTCACTATCCACTTCCACTTCCACTTCAATGAGATCAAATTGACTTGTGGCGACCCTTCAAATTTGATCACCTCCATTTCCCTACACATTTAAAAAGAAACTAACAATCAAAACAACCATGTACAACAAATCAAATTGCAGCAGTTATAGAAGTTAGAAGTTTTGTTGGAGTGAAGGGTCTTGTATAATAAAAGTATAAAGTTACTATAACCCAAAAAAGAGACATGAACTTCATGTTTCTTTTTGCTTTTTTTTTTCCCTCCATCTTCCTAAAGGAAAAAGTGTGGAGTGCCACACACATCTTAGACTCAATTTACCAGCACAGTTACTTAACATCGTAAAAGATATTTATACAATCAAGTCACCTCGATCACAAATAAATCACTATAATAAAATTATTTTGTTACCTAGTACTGGCAAGTGGAAGTCGAGAGAGTGGCAATATGAAAGGGAAGCAATATTGCAGTCTTCTCTAAAACAAGTGAGAAGGGTATCTTCATGGGTATAGTGTATATGAATTGCTGCCAAGTCTAAGATTAAATGTAATTGTTATGTTATTATCTTTCCAGATGAGCTGAAATTACTGATGATTGACCTCCAAATGATTAAATACTCATAACTAGAAATCTTTATCTTACTACATAGGAAAATGCCGAGCTATTTCACATTTTATTTCAGCAGATACTTTTACTAGGACTAATCTCACAGCTTGATCCTGAGATAATTCAGTGCAAGTACTTGAGTCCTAAAAGAGTGTCCCACTTTACAGCTGAGGAGTGTTAAATTCTACATCCCCCAATAAATCGACGTATCAGTAGATACCATTGCAGTTCATAAGACATCTATAAATCGCAATATAGGATGATGGAAAAAGAGGAAACTCAACTCCAACAACAGCAAGACACTCTACTACAAACACCCAAACAACCATAGAATCGAAGTATTATTTCAGATTATTGCAGATTACAGATTACAATTCCAGATTGCAGGTTCCAGATTCCTCCCAGCAGCTAGAACATTATTCAGATTTCATGAAAGTGGATGTGTAATTCAAAGATCAATACAGATGCCCAGCAATTTAACAAGACAATGAATTCAGCTAAAACAGAGTTTCAAAAGCAACTTAGAACTCCAATCTTAGAGCTCCTAGAATTCTACTTCAATCTATGTTAGAGCTCAACAATTCAGCTGCAACAATTCAACTTTGTTTTACTTTTGGTGTAGCATGGAACTTTCAGATGAAGCTTTAATCTATCTTAGAGCTCCTAGAATTCCTACAGATTTAGATAGAGAAAAATCCCAAGATATTCTCTTGGGAACCCAGGCAGAACTGGAATTGGTGGAATTCTCAGAAACTTCAAAGGAGATATCCTTTTTGCTTTTACTTCCCCTATGGGGCAGGGTACCAACAATCAAGCTGAAATCAAGGTGGAAAAGGGGAAGATGACACAACAAATTCTAGCAAAACAGAGTCACAATCACACAAGATCATTACACTCTACTGCAGACACCAAGACAGGTAGCAGTCGCAATCACACAAGATCAATACACTCTACTCCAAAGAGGGGTCCTATAAATCAGGGTAGCAGTCGCACCAAACAAAGCATGGAAAAAGAGGAAACTCAACTCCAACAAAACCAAGACACTCTACTAAAGACACCAAGACACCAAGACAAGCATAGAATCGAAGGAACCACACAAAATACCTTTTGGAGGACTGGGAATAAATAAGAAACGAAATAGAGATAAAAGGAAAACAAATAACATGCAGAACAAGCATACTTTGGGGTTTTCATGTAGTTGTGCCATCTATGAGCACCATTAGGACGAAGATGATCTTGAACTCGAGCAACTGATTTTCCATTTTCGTAAGTCAAAAAGTAGTTAGGATTACCACGAGTTGCTTCCTTGTAGTTTCCAAAGTAAATTTCATTTGTGAGATGGTCATAATTCTTCTTGAACGTCGAGACCTACCACATAATATAGATTTATTACTGGTAAACAGTCTAAAAGAACTTTAGTTGCATAATTAAAACAAATTACAAACTACACAAACTTTCTCAAAGAAATTCTGGCTGCTACAAACAAAGAGTAAGGTCTAACACTCAAGCTACTTATATTTGCAAGGTACAATTTTACTTTCTTGCCTCCACAGTGTCTAACTCCAATGCAACCTTCTTTTTCATTCGTCTGGAAAGAGATGACTCTTTGACTACTAGGCGTTTCTCCATTCTCAAGTATTGGGTAATAGAATTATCCAAATTTATTTCAAGAAAATCTAAACCTATCCCTAGCCAAACGATTGAATTTAACACTAGAACTTGAAAGATAAGAAAAAAGGATATAGTGAAAAGATATCTTACTTCACTAAAAGGCTCCTTCACATCATCTCTCTCAACACTACTCTCCTGAAATATTTTTCATCATCAGAGAAGATATTAACAAGAAAAAATACAACAGAATATGAAAACGAAGCAAATGCATGCTTTTTGAATATTTGTGCATGTAATTACATGCTTAGACAGAGTTAGAAGACAACTTAGAGCAATCTCAATGACTTACATAGTTAGGAAATATGACCATGTCAACATCTTCAGGTATATCTGCCAGAAGTCTCCGTAAAGAATACTCACTAGCTCCAGGATTCCAGCTGGATGCATTAGCTCATCAGTATCAAGATGAATGATCTAGTCTACGCCAGCTTCTTGTAAAGTTACAAGGCAATGAAGTGGATCAAAAGGTAACCACAACTGGAAACATATACTATGTCCACTTTTCTAGTTTAGAGGTTCAAAAGGTGACTATACGAAGAATGCTTTCAGCCTAATAAAATGAAGGCTAAAATGAGTGGCACTAAGCTTATATATCCTGAAATTTCTAAGCTTCCAGTTTGAATATTGATAAAATGAATGCTAAAGTGTCATAACCTGTTTCTTAGGTTGCACTGAGAAAGTTCAAATGGAAAGATTGTCGGTATCCAGCCAGTACGAAGATTGCAAGCATTGCTGACCAAGAACTGCTCCGAGAGAACGTGGTGTTTGTCATTGGAAGGAACAGACGCTTATACCAGTACAACAAAGTTACTGAACTATGGCATGAGCATTACCAATCTCAACATTTGGTTATATCAAGATCTCCTGGAACTGCAATGAGGTTATCTTCACTGTCACTGCAAGGTTCTTTTTTCATGCTTTCGGCAAATGGTGGACTAGTTGAATATAATTGGAATCCGTCCAACGGATGGAATTGTATAGAACACGGAACACCAGATCCAAGTGTCATTCTTGTTGGTTCACCAGGACCATGCTTCACAGGAGCTCATTTGTTCTTAATAGGTTCAGATGGAAAAGTGTATCTAAGGTTCTTGGACGATGGAGCATGGAAATGGAGAAGTTGTGGCTTCCCATTTATGGAAAATGAAAAACATTTATCTGATAATCATGATCGTAAAGAAACTTGTACTTCTGATATCTTGTAGATCATTTAGAGAAGATTGAAGAAAACCTCCAAGCCTTAGACAAAAACTGTGACTCCAAGGTTAGTGTTTATTTACAAGTCCTCTACTTGCTTCTTGAATATTTGGACTATGTTATACGGACTTTCCATCCCTTTGCACAATTTTGATTCCAAACATTCCAAACTACGTGATCTCACTACAAATAGCAGGGCAAAGATGACAACTCCTCTTTCACACACATATTATCAGAAAAGATTGTGAAGGAGAAAAACTTTCAGAAATTGCCCAAATTTGTGAGAAATATCGAAAGTACCCTACCTGAAACAGAGTCAATGAAGCCAGATGTTCTTCCTCCAAAGCAAAGAGGTGATGGGTGACCCACTTCTCGGCGGACTCATCGCTCCTGACCTACCTGACGATAACCCACACCACCCCTTCCTCAAAGGCTGAGAAGAAACCTTGTTTTATCTCCATTTCCCAAAAGCATCAAAAGTCCCAACACTTTTTTCCACCAAACAAAGAGACTTAAGGTTACCATGGATGAAATTTCCAAGTCATAAATCAGATAAACGCATAAGAATGGAGAATTGAGAATAAGCGACTTAGCTAAACTGAATGAGAAGAAACCTTTGAATGAAATTTAGGGATTTTGTTTTTTTAGAAATTGGGGGAAATAGAAAATATAGGGGGAGCTTATTAATTTAGCCAAAAATATGGTAGTACTCTTATTTTCTGAAATTCAGTTAAAAAGTTATTGGAGGGAACTCGTTAGTTTAGCTTATTTTTTAATGAGTATTTATAGGGAAAACTTATAAATATTTGGGGGGAAATTTGGCCATAGATTTCCCAAGTAATATTTATGAAAAAATTTCGCAAATAGCGTTTGTCCATACAATTTGTCATTAGTTGATAAATATTTTTGGCAAATATCTCAAATTTCCCAAATTTCCATTTTATTTAGCTTAAATATATTTGTGTGTGCATTTCCATCATTGTGACGTATGTTTTAAAAATTAAACCTTCATCTTATATAACTTAAAAATTAAAATTTCATCTTATTTAGTTTAAAAATAAAATGTTCATCTTATTTAGCTTAAAAGCAAGATTTTCTTCTTATTTATGCTTAAAAATAAAACTTCCATCTTATTTAGTTTAAAAATAAAACTTTCATCCTATTTAGCTTAAAAATAAAACTTTCATTTTAAGTTTATTAAAGTAAAAGAAAATTTATTATTAAAGTTATCCACATTTTAATTATAGATCAAATATAATTATTAAGTGAGTAATACAAAATTTAATAAAAAATATGTAATTTAGTAGTAAAATGAACATTTTAAGAGAAATCAAAATATAAATAAACATAATAATTACGCAAATAAATTCAGCTTATGATATAATCATAAAATAAAAAAAATAGTATTTACAAAATGTAAATTTTTAATAGAAAAATATATTTATCATAAAAACAACAAATAATTAAGGTTGTACAGGCAAGTCACAATTATAGAATCTTTTAATGGGTAAAGATAACAAACGGGTCAAGACCCAACCCAATTCAAATTTGCTTGAGTCAAGTTCGGTAATGAGTTATAGAACGGGTCAAAACTCAATCCAACCTAAATTTTACTATGATTTACTTATTTTTATTGTTCTTTTTACAATATTTTAGTTCCTAATAAAATTATTATTTTTCTTTATAATGGCTATATATAACATATCAAATTTTTCAGAGAAAATACATAAAAAAAAAACCCTTGAACTTGGTCGGATAACTTACTTTAGTACTTAAACTACACGGGCGTTTAAATACCCCCTTAAGATCTTTGAAGTGATTTTTTCCACCCTGAGACTATAACACCACTCTCACCCGCCACATCATAGCCACGTAAGCGCCACATCATAACCATGTAGGCACCATGTCATTAATCTTTATTTCTTTTTTACTTATTCACTATTTTTTCTTAAACACTTTTTAAAATTAATTATATCAATTGATTAATTTATAAATGCATACCCCCACCCCCTACCCCCTCTCTTTCTTCTTCCTTGTTGTTCACCATTATTCCAACCTTCAATACTTTCTTTTCTTCTTCTTCACTATTCAACAATTTAAGGGGGGTATATAAACACCCGTGTAGTTTAAGTACTAAAGTAAGTTTTTGTGCCAAGTTCAGGGGGGATTTTATGTCTTTTCCCAATTTTTAAAAAAGTTCTTTAAGAATATTTTTACAAGATTTTTGTTGATTCAATATTTGTTACATATCACCTAAATTTTAATGGATTGAAATGAGTTAACCTAATAAATAAGCAGATCAATAACCCATCCAAACTTAAATGGGTTGGGCGAATGGGCTTAATTTTGCCAATCCTAACTTTTGGCAAGCTATATTGTATAATCAGTGTTAGGGTGGAGGTTCGAGATTTCTAAATTTTGAATTCAATAACTCGAAATTGGTAGCTAAAAGTAGATACCAAATATCAAAATTTTAAATTTCAGTTAGGTATTTGGTATTTGGTATCTGGTATCTAGTAAAACTTTTTTAATTTTGTATGTCATTTTTAACTCAAATAATATCATTACTAAATTGTGATTCATAATTTATTCTCTTAGATATAATAATTTGAGTATTACCTTTAAAACTAAAATATCCACAGGAAAATTTTGGATTTTATTTTAATTTTAAAATGTTGAGTATTACCTTTAAAACTAAAATATCCACATGAAAATTTTGTATTTTATTTTTATTTTAAAATATTATTTGAGAGCTTCTCATTGATTATTTTATTATTATTTTTGCCATTATATATAGTATGATATCAATTATGTGATCTTATTAGTATAAGTATGATATTTTTCATATTTAATTTCTAAACAATTTCTTATATCAAATTTAAATATTTATCGGCTTACATTGAAATTTTTATTTACTACTTTTTCATTTTCTTGTTCATATGTAACGTTATTGTGTTAACATTTTGTCATGTGTGTTTTTTTTAAAAATATTTGTTCACTTATGTCCTTCTATTACTCATCTTTTAATATAGATAAAATTTTAGTTTCTTGCTTTCACAACTCTATTTATTTCTTATCATACTTTTATTTAATTAATCAACTATACTACGTGATGATGGAATCTTATTGATGATTGCACTGCACAAACAAAGAATATTAGTGAAAGAAACAGGGAATACATACATGTTTGAAATATTTTTTATTTGATTTTTTTTTTCTTATAAAATAATTTTTAATTTTTTTTTTTAAAATTTTTTTGTCATAAAAACAGACGCAAGATATTTAGAATTATTCCTTATGATTATATATTATGTTATATATTTATAAAAAATATTTTTATAATTTGTCGATTCCGTTTTGTAATATTTTCATTTTTTAAAAAACAATTCAAAAACTAATTCAAATAAAATATTAATTGGTATTTTAAAATGTAAGTTTAAACGTTTTTTTAAGGATAAGATTAGTTAATATTTGAAATTCAAATTTTAAATTGATTATTTAATGGTTGTGGGTTCTTTTAATTTATTTTTTTTTGGATTGGAAGTTTTTTCTTTATATTATTAACTAAGGTTTGTTATACGGATATAATTTAATATATTTTAAAAAATGAAAAAAAAAACAACCCCATTTAACGTATGAAGATCCACAATTTTTAAATTATTTTATAATTTTTTTTGATTATCAGTTTTAATTTTTTTTATATTACTAATTTAAAATAAATTTAGAAAAAATAAAAAAGAAACTACCCCATTTAAAAATAAAAAATTCACACTTCTTCCTTCTTCTTTTTTTTTTAATTAAAAGTGAGGCCCTTTAAACCTCATTTATTTAAATAAAAAAGAGAATATATCATCAAAACAAATTAACAATAAAAAACAAAAAGCCGAAAGAGAAAGGCAAAACCAAATTAGGCAACCAAAGAAGGACATAGAAAGTCATCTTCTTCCATCGCTATGCCACCGCCACGGATGATCTCCAAGCACCAGTCACTCGCTGGATATCAACTTCCCAATGTCGTATCTCCATCATTTCAGCTGCTTCCACACTCAAACTTGACTCCGGAGATCGGAATCTATGGAGACCTCCCAATCTGAGAAAATTCTGCTCTTGGGTGCTGCTATAAAATGCTCCAGGTAAGACTTGAAAAACATTATATATGAACTAGAACTCCTTTTCTCTAGTCTAATCATTGATGGGTTGAATCCCACAAAGAGATTAATTCCACGATCTAAATTTAGAACTTTGAATTGGAAAACTAACTCATTGTTGCTTATATGATTTATGGGTTTGCAAAATTTTTGGATTGGATCTGTAGAGGACGTAGATAGGAGCTATCAACAATCGAATACACCACTAAGAACTTCGGAGTATTGATTTCGTACCACTTTGGACACCCATATGCTCTCACCAGGTGCATGGTACGGTTGGTTACCGAAATAGCTTCAGACTTTAAAAGTTTGCTAAAGTTATGCATCAATTGTAAACTCCTTCATGCTTCTTATCGATACTTGTATATCTTATTGTTGTGTAGTACTTGTGAACTAGATAATCTAATTAGTACCTGGCGAATCTGTCTGCTTGATTCTTATGTATGGAGTGTTACATTTTTCTAAATTTATTATCTTCTTGGCTGTTGTTGGGACTTCATGGAAAGAATTGAACTCATAATTACCTGCAAAAACAAAAACTAGGTTAGCAAAAAAATCAGCAAGAGTATTTCCCTCCCTGAAGGAGTGTTGTACTCTTACTGATATAGAATTTCTGATTCTATTGATGGAGTTAACCTCCATTGTCACGCTCCAAGGTGACTCCCACTCTCCATTAAGAATATTAACCATTGACAAAGAGTCAGTCTCAATAATAATCTGTTGAAAATGTTTGTCTAAACAGTATTGCAGACCCTCTCTAATTGCAATTGCCTCAGCCATCAAGTTAGAAGAATCAACCAACTTCACACCCTTAGCCCCTACTAGATTACCATTATGATCTCTCACACAAAAAGCAGCAGAACTAGGGCCAGGATTACCCTTGGAAGAATCTAAGACGGGTAACCCTCCTATCTTTTCTTCCTCGTTTAAAACTATAGTAAAATCACCCCCAATCAACCAAGGCCTATCAATACCATCTGCAACCTGATATAGATCCTCCCACAAGTTCAACCTATGCATAGCATCACACTTAGCATATACAATTGTAATATAAAAGCTCTGGGGCAGAGTTTGATGCTTCAAACTCAAAGTGAGTTGTTGTTCAGTATCTTTGACAATAGTGATGTCAAAGTCATGATTAGTAAAGATCCATATCTTTCCATTGCAATTTGAATTGGCTCATGGCATTTTTAATCTTCTCATGTATTTATTGATATATCTAACATGCTGAAAAGGCTCAATTAATGCAACAAAAGCGAAGTGGTGAACCTTATGTAACATTTGAACCCTTTGAAAAGCTTGTTGTGACTTCACTAATCTAATATTCCAAATAAAGGCATTCATCATTAATGAGATATAACTTTATTTCTCTTTGGTTGAACTCTGATTGGTTGCGTACTCTCACCATTGCCCTGCTTCTTTCCTTTTCTAGTTGTCATCTCTCTTAATCTCGACTATAGGGCTTCAGATTTTTTGGGATCGTGAAGAACAACACCGTACGGGATGTCGAAACGAGGACGATGAGGTTTCGCCGAGAACAAGTTCAGAATGTCAC